AAAAACATCCCACAACCACATTACACCAAACCCGTTCATTTCAAAAGTGTGGAGACCGTCTTACCTCATTGGCTGTGGCGTTGTAACTTGTCTAAATATGTCCAAATTCTAAATGCCCGACATCCATGCGACAGCGATGAGGGTCCAGCCGCAGTCCAGCAAAAATGCTCATCCTCAATCCCCAAAATGTGAATCTTCCAGATAAGTACGGTGCTTTCAGAAACACCTGCTTTCAGAATCATGTTTGTCCACTTCCAACTTACTGTTTTGATCTCACAATTCGAAGGGAAATCCCGAAGCTACAAATTGCAATACAAATCACCCGCCTGTTTGCGTGGTGCTGATTGTGCCTCGCTTGCGGAAACCTACGAAGGCAGCTAAGGCCAAAGGTCCAAACCAACACTTTTGACTCTTTGATCGAGAATCTCTCTGAGATATAGATGTTTGAATAGTTTACAGCGGCATTTTATTCTCAATGGATCTTTTGCAGGTAATGTATACCAGCAATCAAAAAGAGGTTTCCTGATAGTTTGCGCAACTATTTTTGGAATTCGTACAGAGAAAATGATATCTGGATAAACCATGATAAACCATGATAATCATGATGTAGCAAACTGAATCAAGGCCTTTTTGGATAGTGATACTGGTTTGGTTTGTGGTTTGTGGTGAAACAACATGTTTCAACCCGATTTTTTTTGCTGATATTTGGGATCATCCTCCCAAAATGGCTGGTCCTCCGGAATTGTTTTGGAAATTTTGTTTTCCGTTTCGTGATTGTTTTGGGGTCTGCTCGTTTTCCTTGCAATGTGCAGCATTTTGGAGCTGGAAGCTGCCATTTCAACGGTATTGCAACATTTTGGAGTTCGAACCTCTCATTTTCCATGGTCTTTGCAGCACTTTGGTGCTCAAACTGCTCATGCTGGATGATATTTTGCGACTAGGGGCCATTTAGGTTTGTTTTAGGGTTTATTTTTGGTTTAGGGTTGGTTTAGTTTTAATGGTGGGTTGTGTTTTTAGTTTGGGTTGGTTTTCGGGTTCGTGTGGGGCTTATTTAGGGATGGTTTAGGATCTATGTAGGGTTGGTTTTAGAGTTTATTTAGGGTAAGATTCAGATCTTCAGGCGTGGTTCGAGATTTATGTAGGATCTATTTAAGGTTGGTTTAGGTTTTAGGGATTATTATTTATTTAGGCGTGGTTTAAGATTTGGGGTGGGTGAGGGATCTATATATTTAGGGTTGGTTTAGGGTCTATTCAGGATGAGTTCCAGATTTGGGGCTTGTGTAGGGATTACTAGGGTTGCTGTTGTTTTTGTTCGGGGCGTTAGTGTGGGTTTAGGGTTTGTTTGGGGTAAGTTTCAGAGCTTAGGTTTTTTTGGTTTACTTAGAGTTGCTGTTGTTTTTTTTGGCGTTGGTTTGGGATTTAATTTGGTGTTGGTTTCGGGTGTTTTTGTCTTCTCATGCGCATCTTGGGGTTTATTTAGGCTTGAGAAGCAAAAATGCACAACAAAAAAAAGAAGCAGAACAGTGGAGAAGCAGAGAAGCAGAGTAGTATAAAGGCAGCCGTGAAAAGTAGAAAAGCAGAAAAGCCCAAAGCAAAGAAGCAGAAAAGCAAAGAAGATGGGAAAGGAAGAAATCCAACAAAAAATGACCAAAACGGGACAAAAATCATAATTCCCCCCAAAAAGGCCTCCATCATCAATTGCTAGGTCTGGATCATATTACTGTAACTAGTGGATGACAATCCCTAAATATCATGATGGTATTCACCCCATGATATCTCCATTATATCCAGCACCTCAATGTCCGGCAGCCCCAGTTCGACATCTTCCTGTCGCCAGCTGTTTAGGGCTACAGATGGCTACAAACATTAAAGGGGCCTGTGGTCCAGTGTGTCTGTAGTGTTATTCACTTACATAATATACATCACTACTATGAAGATATCATAATATATAAATGAATGAATAAATAAATAAGTAAATAACTAAATAAATAAATAAATATATAATATATTTATATGCAGAGATAATGCATGTATGTATGAATGACATGGTATGGTATGTGATGTAATGATGTGATGTGATGTGATGTAATGTGATGTAATGTGATGTAATGTGATGTAATGTGATGTAATGTGATGTAATTTGATGTAATGTGATGTACTGTGATGTCATGTAATGTATTGTACTGTAATGTAATGTAATGTATTGTAATGTAATATATTGTAATGTAATGTAATGTCATGTATGCATGTATGTATAACTGTGGAAAATCCGGTCCCTGTGGGTGGTTTATAGCATGTTCTATAGTTTCTATGGTATTCAATTCGACTCCCCCGTTCCGTCATGCATGCAGTAAGTCATGATCGAATATCTTCACATAAACCAATCTGAAAACACAGAGTCTGCAAATTCAATCCACTAATCGACCCAAATCAACAGACACAACTGCAAGTCCAGCCTGAATTTAATAAATATCGAATATCTAAGAACATCTGTTTATAAGCACAACTCTTTGCTTATAAACTCAGCCTGCGAAACTTGACACATCATGGTTTCCCCTATTTTCCCCATTCATTTTTTTAGTCCATGTCAAGTTGGGAAATTGGGGAAATAGAGGAGATAGGGACCTCTCATGGCTTGAGGCACCTTGAAGCCAAAACCATCTGGGACTCTCTCGTGGTTTTGTGTTTCCCCAAATTGGGATAATAAGGGTGCTAGGGAATAACCAAAACCCTTTCATGGTTTGAAACCTGGGACCTTCTCATGGTTGAAGCAAGGGAAGCAGCTCTTCTCATTGACATCTGGGCGAATGCTTATAAGCAACTGATAAGCAAACCGTTTCATGAATAGCATGATTTTGTTTGTTTGGTTTAAAAACAGTGTTGCAATCTAAGAAGATCAAGCTGCCAACATCATAGTGATGTGCCGTGCTGGGTTTGCAGCGTACTGCAGGAGATGTCCAGTCGTTACAAAACCAACATGACATGGAAATCAGAGTGTCGATGTCATGCGATATCATTGCTTGCAGGGAAACTGTTCTTGCAGAACCAACCCGGCCGGTTACGCAAAGTCATCCCAAACTGTCGTCCTGATTATTTCCACAATGGGCTGGCCCAAGAAATACGAACACCTTATTTCTTTGGACGCTGGACTTTCTTTCACGTGGCACCTGTACATATCTATGATGCGTATGCAGAATAATGGGTTGCCGGGGCGTTTTGCGGTCATGATGCAACTACTGTGCAGTCTGTGGTTTTCCAGACTGTCGACAGCCTCAGACAATTTATAGTTGGAAGAGTTGCGATTTGGCATCTTAATCTAACAGCCAAACTGCCCGGTGCACGGAGGTCCGTTGGGTTTGTTTTAAGGGAAAGGCGTGTAATATAGCTGTTAAGGTATAGAGTCTAGAGACTGCATCACGATATTCATCACTGTTCCGAAGGGTGCAATTTGAGATGTCAGCTCGTTACCATCCCCCAGTCATCACCATTTTTATAGGTGCTATGTTTACCATTGCCAGTCATGGGTGGTTTATATTTTTTTAAAACCACATTAAATAAAGTTACCCTCTGGTAAACTAACATTTTGCTATGGAAAATCACCATTTTTAATGGGAAAATCCACTATAAATAACCATTTTCAATAGCTATTTTGACATAACCAGAGGGTACCATATACATGGTCTTTGCCACATATTGTGGAGCTGATTCTCCTTTGATCCCACCGCCAATGGGTTGCTGTAGCCTGACTTTTTGGCGAAAAAAATCCTAGAAACTTTAGGCCAAAAACCAGCGGAAATTCGGCCTCATAAAATCAATCACTTGAAGACTTGGTATAATGAGGTATACGAATATTTGTCAAGAGGCTGTGGGTCAAAACCCTGTACCCCTGGTGAACATCAAAATAGCTGGTAAATGGATGTTCATCCCACTAAAAATGGTATTAATAGGTATTGACCCATCCCCATATTTGTCAAGAGTATTGCTAACTGCAAGAGGTCTCAAGAGTCGAAGCCCGATTCTGAAACTGACAGCGTGACGACAGCACTGCTGATAGAACAAGTGTGCACTAGTTTTGAAATGTGCAACTTTGCAAGATGATGCAACATGTTCCAGATCCAAAATGATGAACAAGATCAGCAAACAGCAAAATCTTCCATGGTCAAAAAATGATATACGTAGTACGGTCATCCATTCCACAAAGGGAATCCTTACATCATGAAATGCAATGAATATTATATTATATCATATCATATCATGTTATATTATATTATATTATATATTATATATTATATATTATATATTATATATTATATATTATATATTATATATTATATATTACATTATATTATATTATATTATATTATTTATATATTATGTTATATTATATTATATCATATTATTATATACTATGTGTAAATCCCTATGAAACTGATTGAACATGCAGTGATGAGTCCCCCCAAATAATGGCTTAAATCATCCATCTAGCTTCACCAGTCACCGCCTCCGTGATCGGTGGAATCGGTTCTGGAGAAGGGCCAGAAGAAGCCATTGCAGCGAACTGTGAGACTGTTGCACGTTGCCAAAAAAGCCTACTATAGTAACAGCTGCAAATCATGTAAGTATATAAATATATGCATACTATTATGATAATATCATGTAGCATCACTGATGTTGTTCACCTTGTAAAACTATGCTATGTTCAACAAAATCCAAAAAATGTGTGTGGTCTCCATTGAACTGCAAAAAAAAGAACCAGGGCCACGTTTGGCACACTCTAAACAGAAGGAACTGAGATCTTGTTGCGGTTGCTTCGACAGTGCACCAACTCAATCAGCAAAGAACGTGTGTGTGTGTGTCTCCTTGCTTCGATAAGGCCGGTTTGCCCCATCAAGACGTGGACTTAGAATGACTTAGATACACTTACAAGCATGGCGCAACTTCTAGATCTTCCAGATCTTCCAGGCTCCATCCCATCCAGGCGCGCGCGTTATCCCAGCACATTTTTTCTGCGTCATTGAATCTCTTTGAGCATGGATCGAGTGACCTGTCGCAGAGGCTGCCACCGCAACGGTGAAAATCCCTGACTCTGAGACTCATCTGATAAGGCATAACTGGCCGGGTGAGAGAAAAATCTGGTGGTTTTAAGACCGACGTTTGGGATATAGTTATCCTATGGATTCCTATGGTTATCCGATATAAGTTTATCCACTTTTTGGCCAGTCCCAGATATTCCCAGATGGCCAAAATTGCCACAGCAACTTTCATATCGACATCTTTCCGAAGTTGCAGGCTACCTGTCACACAGCACTATCTCTGAATCACAGATCACCTGTCAGACTTTGGTGGAACCTAAAATCAAAAGCAACACCTAGACTGATTTCCGATTTCATCCTAGAACATGCGCATAATGAGCATATAAATCCTTCCAAATTGATGTTCAACAACATCAGAAAGCAGCCATCGAATTCCACCAGCAGCTGCCTTCACCCCTACGGTTTCCTTCATCAGCTGCTCATCATCAATCTCCCAAACCTCCCATGATGGACCAGATTTTTTCTATGATCGTGTCCTGTCCTGTCGCATACAAACCCTTCAGCCCACAGAGTCACAGCCGCTCATCGTGAGTGATCTGAAACATGATCTGGCTATGGATCAATACCTATAGATACAGTTTATTAGGGGATGAACATCCATTTGCCACCTATTTTGATGTTCACCAGGGCTACATGGTTTTGACCCATCTGAAACCTGATGGTTTGGTGGTTTCAAACCTGACCTGACTTTGGTCAAATACCAAAGCCCTGGTGCTGAAGAAATGTGCTTTTCAAGTCCAGTGAAGTCATGTAGAATCAAAAAAAACGGTTCAGAACTCTGCCCCATATAATAATCATGATACGATCATATCTGATCTATAGGTAGAAATCACCACCAAATTCATCGGCTTCGCAAACCTACTGTGAATGGATAAACAAATGGTATGCCATGGTATGCCTAACTCCATGGTGATAACAGGGTTATAACATGGTATGCCACCCACTTAGTAACCAGGAATCGCTCATCCCATGGCCCATGAGAGCGCCTTGGGATCAAAGATCAGATCCATCATCTTCTCGATGTCCTGACCAATCCTCGGTGAAAGGGTCGCTGGCAGACTGGCATTTCTTGTCTTTTTCACTGCAGAATATGGGATTTTATGGGGTTTTATGGAAGTTGATTAGCAATTTTCTGGGGACCTTTGATGAAATGACTGAACATGCCCTGTGCCCCTAAATCCGCTGGTTTATCAGATCATTTTCCCTCCATCCAGATGATCGTAGGATGAATCCCAGTACCTGAACATGCCATGAATCGAAATTGCTTATAAATGATGGTTGCAGCCCTTTCTCAGCAAAGATATGGTCAATCATGCTCAAACATTAATGTTATTTTTTGTAGGAGGATGAAACTTGGATGTTTTTATTTGGTTAAATTCAAATTCACAGTATTGGGGGCTTTTTCTAAAAAAAACAAACACGGAACTTAGTTGCTCCATAGTACGTAATGATACGTCTCGATGTACGTAATGATTATCACCACATCTTGATACGTCTCGAAGCATGTCTCGATCGAAGCATGTCCGCGACGACTCGTTAAGACTGCCCAGCTTCAACCTCTTCTCCAGTGAAGTGAAGATGGCTACGGCCAGCTTGACAAAGATCTGTGCCAATGATGCTGGTGTTCTTGCGCAAATCCGAAAACTAGACCCATGAAAGAAAAAGGCTGTGTCTAGACTATTTGAATGTATTTGAATCTTTACTTTGCTTTCTGTTGGTTCTACGTTTTCGATAAAGATTGAAGACGTTTCATTTGATATGGATCCAGAAAGGGTAAGAGAATAATCGAAGGACGAGGATATGCTTGGTGCATGGTTAGGGTGCTTCGAATCACCAATTTTGAGATAGCGCAGATAAAGATGCAGATAGCAGCCATGATATTTTTGCGTCGCGTCCGCATTTCGATGGCTTGAATTCTCACCCAGTTTGGTCTCTTTGTATGCGTCTTCCTCAGTCGCTAATGTATTCCTTTACCTATTTTCATAGGCTACCCATGATGCCATGGCTATCCCATTATCATTCCATCCACTGGTGAATTGAATGGCCATCATGGCCATCAGTCCAAAATTCAGCCGTTCAGACCCATCTGGCTGGGCAAAGGCCTTGAGGGACCTTTCGAAGATGAAGTGATCCTGAAGCGAGTCGGCTCAAATGTCAAAATTCAGCGATAAATGGCGTGCAAGATCTTTGTTTCATGGGACACAATGGGATATAATTAACAGATTCTACCCATGTTAACACGACAAAATTCCACTTCTCCATGTTGGCGACAACCCCAAATTTGGTGCTTCTGTTCGAACATTTGATGCGAACAGGTCGCATGATCCTCATGATTTGGTGATCTCCACCATGGTCATCATGCTGGTGAAACTGTAGGCTGATAAATCCCATATGTTTCATGATGAACCATGGGGTTTAGCCCATGGGGAAGCGAAATCTTCATAGGCCAAAAATCGTGCCATCATTAAACACCCCCCATGAACAAAAAAAACACAACATGGTTTAGTAGAGATTTCAGCCAGAGATTTCCATAGATTTGGGACCGATCCTCGGTGCTTTTTTTTGGTAATCGGCCAAACCAAGCGTCCATGATCCGCAGCTGCAACTCTACGCTGAGACAGCCTTGAAAGAGGCCTGCGATGTCCGATCCACAAGGGATGAGCCACCCAAAAAAAAAATCACACGAAAACCACCAACCAGCTGCCAGTCAATGGGAGATCTTCAGGATCCAATTGATGGAGGTACGTTGGTACCATATTTCTGGCCCCGAAATTTAGGCCTGACAAATAGGCCTTATATATGGTAGGTACCTCCAATTTAGGTTCCTGGAATGGCCATTGAGCCAGTGTATGTAACAAATGTATGTAAATATACAATGTCTATAGATGGATACGTTGAAACCCAAACAGTTAGTACAACATGTTCAGCTCATAGCTGACCTCCAGGTTCGAAAATGAAAATGATTTTCCATTTACATCCCGCCATGAGATTGTTCAGCCGTTCCCAAGAGTCCGTTTCAAATGGGTTATGGTGGGAATGTCATGGTGATCAGTCATGATGGAGTTACTCAGTTACTCATGATGGGTGTAGATGGCTTCATTAAGATATGTGTGATATAGTTGTGGATACTTTTGGCTGGCTCATGATAGTAATATCCTATAATATATATATATATATTAGTTATATGTATGAAGGCTTATAATATGATATCTCACAAATCATAACAATGTCAGTGTTTTTGCAATCATGAATCATCATCAAGACTAAGTGATTTTGGCCAGTGGATAGCAACTATGGTGAAGCGGATGGTCATTCTGGTCCACCGGCCTGGCAGGATTAGCCTTTTGGATGCCCCAATTTAACCGTGGATTGAAACATCCCTTTCTTGAAGAATTTTGGGGGACCCAGTCTGAGTTCTGCAGTAGTTTAGAGATGTTTGGAGAATTGTAGGAAATAGATATGGCTCAAATAGTTTCTTCATCATCATTCCAAACTTCTCCGGAAAAAAAAGAAAAAGACAAGAGGCTCCAAAAAAGGGTGGTTCTTCGGTCACTGGATTTTAGAAGCTTTCCATAGTTTTTCCCAACATTTGCAGACATATCATGACTTCCAAAAAACAAAAACATCCAGCGGTACCTTGTATCCAGCGGCAGTAGAAGAGCTCAGGAGCCAAGCCTTCGCCCATCATGTGGCGGAACCTCGGAATGGTTCTGCTGACGCCATCAAGAAACGAGAAAATCCACTGGAGTTTCTGTGTGTTTATAGGATTTTGTTTAATGATTCCCTGGGTGGACGTGCTTGATAAACATATTTCAATGATTTTCAATGCTTGCTCCGAGAAATTGCTAATTGACGTATATATCATATCTAATTCTCTAATCATCTGCTGTTCCGATGATATTCCAACAATGGTACAAACGGCTCTGGCTCAAGTCGTCAAGTGCACCTAAAATTGAATGGTATTTCCTGCGAAATTGAGCAACATCTGCGGTCTGGGGTGCCGCAAAGCGTGCCCCATAGTCGATACCCATGCCCTTTGGATGTGCACCACAAGAGGCGACACATTTTGTGGATGGTTTAATGATAGAATTGTTCCAAACTGGGGCAAATGTTGGGAAGCAGTGAGCAAACAACCAACTACACTGGGACGTGAAAGTCAGTGCATATGTGGAACCAAGGTAAAAACTGCATGGGGCGCCGCGCATTCAGGAAGTCAAACAAGTCAATGCAACCAGGTCTAAAACTGCATGGGACGCACTATGTAGAAGTGTTACTTTTAGATCCCTGGCAGTGCACTTTTCTATTGCCAAATTTTCCAAATCCCCATCAGGACGCGTGTGCACAGTTATGTCCCATAATCTTAAAAATTTATGCCAAATTTTCTAAATCCCCATCAGGACGCGTCTCCACACATGAATCTCAAATATGTCTGAATAATAATCTGACGGAATGTTTCTGGTGGCTTTCCTGAAGGAATTTGATAAGGAGTGGAAGACTTCGGGATTCGAATGTTAAGTGAATGTACAGTTGGTACGGGCACATGTTGGGCGATTCCGAACGAGGTCCGGACGAGGTGCAAACGAGGTCCAAACGAGGTCCAAAATGTCTCAAACAGCAGCCCCTGTTCAAAAGTCCAATCTTGAAGATCTTTTCAAATCCGCCAGCCTGCCGGCGTGTCTGATTGGAAGGTGTTGTTCTTGTTTCGGTTCTTGGATTGTACTTATTCCTCTACTCCTCTACTCCTCTACTTCTGTACTCCTCTACTCCTCTACTCCTTCCTCCCTTCTTCTCGAAGTACTACCACTGCCTACAGCATTACCGTCGTCTACAAGTACTCGTCACAGGACGCACACGGCACTGATCAACCAGTACTCATTGGGTATGCGTTCCATTGGTTGTTTGAGCCGCTTCCGTTTTATGGCTTTGTCTTCGTCTTCCTTTCTTCTTCTTCTCCTTCTTTTCTCTTCTGCGCTCTTGCGGGCTTCCACCTAGAATGCACATCAAACTCCCTTGGGGCCACCTCTCTATGGCCGGCGGGCTTGCCGGAGGCAATGAAATAAAACATGTCTCATTGCCAAACAAACACTGGGAACAGACGCCACTGCATCATCCTTCTGATCCTTTTGCTTCTTTGCAGTCTTTTGCGATTGATATTCAACAATGGCCTCATCTAACTTCATGCGCAAGCGCAATTCTCTCCCATTTTTTGAATAGTCTATTTCCCAAGCATCCAAAACTGCCATCAAATTCGGGAAAGAAAGTCTAGTGATCTGATTATTCGGGACAACAGGACACCATTCAGTGATGTACAAATTCCATTATTACAAAGCTAAAACTCACGATAAACCATCAATTGGAGAAAACACAAACATGCTAAACACCAACTGGACGCAACATCGCACCGACTTCCAGAAATTTCTCCCCCACCTAGGACGCACATTTCATTGAAACGCTTTGACTTCCACAACTAGGAGTATTGTTATAGGGAGGCCCCGGATGAAATCATGAAAAACTAAGGATGTTCATAAACCCATTTTCTGAAATGAGCCATTCTTGGAAACAATGATGGTGTTGCTGATTTCACCATGCATCAAGACAACAAGTGCAAATTGTTTGTCAGCAGCGTTGGTACTTTATTCCCGCTATTGTTGGTGACATGACGGTTTCTGCGTTCTCGATGCAGGCGCTACTGTTGGTAGTTAGTTAGTAGTTTGTTCTAAGATTCTAAGGCACAAGTAGCCATGAACAAAACATGTAAAACAAGCCTGCCTTCACAATGAAGCCTAAATCCGTGACGAACATCTGGTGGTCACTGGGAAGTTGCTGACCGTTGCGCAATAGGCGGTTCACACTGAGCAGGAGAAAGAGATCTGTTTTTGATAGTTCTCCCCATGATGGGTGGTTCTGTCCCCAATTCTGGTTGGCTGTGTCCCCAATTGTTGCTGGTTACAACCCGAGGATTGTTGGATCTTGAACTATGACCACTTGTTCAAGAAAGAAACACAATTCAAAGCAGCAGGGTCTCGGATAGCTCCAGAAGAACTTGCAGTTGGCCCATAAGAATCGGTCAACATTCGTTTGTCTGAAAATGGGTTGTATACCGCAGAACGGCCCAAAATGATGGGGACAATGATGATCAAGTATTAAACTGGGGGATAGCGTATTTTCAGATAAATCCACATGAGTCATGGTCAAAAGATGGCATTTGTCCTAGTGTCATCCATCCCACAATGGATATCCTTATCATGGGTACGCACACTGGATTGAGGAGCATCCCCATTTTCCATGAGGCTTTCTTAAAATGGGGGATCCCCAAACCATGGGTTTCAATGCTAAAATTGTTTACCCTCTGGTAAACTAACATAGCTATTGAAAATTGCAATTTATAGTTGTTTTTCCCATTAAAAAAGGTGATTTTCCATAGCTATGTCAAATTACCAGAGGGTAATGTTGGATGATTTGGGGTACCCCTATTCTAGCAAACCTCCATTGAGCAATTCATCCAAGTTTTGATTATGACACACATGACCATCTCATGTTTTCTCTTGGCCCTCCGACAGGTTAGGCAAATGCGCTGCAATGACGACCTTGCGACAATCAAAGAATGACCCGGAAGTAACTATAGAAGACACCAAACAAATGGGCAAGTAAATCATCACTATTTTAGTAGGATTCTACATATTCTACTGTTCTATCTCTTCGGGAATTATTGTAATTCTATGGTCTTCAATGGGAGCACCTCAAATTCTACAAAATGGAAAAAGTTTCTGCCTTTCGGCCCGTGCTTTTCGGGCCCTGAGAAAATGGAAAAAGTTTGACCAGATCATCACCCCTAGAGTTTAGGCTGCCCAAGTTCCAGCTGAAGCCTTTTAAAGGTAAATAGCTCCCCTCACAACATCTCACCTGCAGGGGAGCTTCCACTGCGATATTTCACCAGCAAACTCCCCCCAACTATCCAAAGTGATATTGGTCAAGTCGTGTATCCCAATACTGAAATCTCCTCTGCTTGGGCCATGTGGGGAGGATTCCCCATTTTTTCGAATACGGGAACCCTAGTGACGTCACGATGTGAGGTCATTCATCCATCCAGATGAAATCACGATTTTTGTTGGTTAAGTCTCATTAATGTCCAATAAAATCCCATTAGTAAATCTCATCAAATCCTCATAAATTCACAGTTATTGTAGTAACTAGACCCAATCTGAGGTCCCCAAATCTCTTGTTGACACATACCCAGTGGCAGCTGCTGGTGTTTCACCACCGGTTCACCTGAAAGTAGCGACATTGCATCACCAGCCAAGGCCTCAGTTGACTCCCCTTGAGGAAACAATACATCTTCTTGGTCTCCGTCTACGTGAAATAAGGTGCTTGTGTAGCAGCAGTTGCTACATGTTGCTATCCATAAAATGGCAGGTCATATCACCCAGCCCAGCCTTAAATAGACCGACACAACTTTGAAACTTCCCCGACTTCCCCTTGCGACTTCCCCTTGCGACTTCCCCTTGCGACTTCCAAGCAATCCGAGGGGCAATGCAGCATCCGACAGCAACCACAACCTGGTTGCTGGTCAACAAAGGCTGGCTCCAACTCTCATCCCCCTACTAAAGATATTGAACATCCCCAGAAGCCATGGTTTTGTGAGAAACTTGAACGGGGGATGGGATTATATAGTATTTATTCCCATCGTTCGTGATGAATCGATTTGATTCCTAATATCCCAATTCATCATTTATAATCCCATTACCATGAATGATTGGAATACAACAAACTCTGATACGGAACATGAAATTCCCTAATGCTTTGCATGGTATTTTCATATTTTTTTCTCGCCAATGTCAAGTGCCGATCAAGAACCACCCTGCTGCCCATGTTGGGATCACTTGGATTTCAGCACAGAAAGGTTCGTTGAGATTTTTCCCAGTTTTTCCATCGTTCTTTTGTTTGGAACATGAATGAACATGAGACACGTGGGTATTGGGATCTCCAAACTACGAAAAACTGGTCTTTTGTTTGATATGCTTTTTTGCAGGGTCATGTTTTGATTTCAGGCAGGACTTCCACACAAATGCTTATCAGCCTTAAACGTTTTAAACATCCGACAAAAGGTCCAAGTCTCAAATGGTCACTTCCACATTATGAAGGTCTCTTAAAATGGAGGTACCCTCAAATCATCCAGTCGTCATGGATGACCATGTTAGTATTGAAATATATTGAAACGACCAAACAGTGACGATTGGATTTGCCATGACTTGGGATGGCTCCCAGCTCCATCACTGCTCAGCACTGTACCCATCCTGGCTCCCAGCTCGCCTTTGGCAGTGCCACGGATCCTGTAGCAATCCGTCCAGGACTTTGCTTGGAAGCCTGGGAAATCCCCGTCGTCTATGAATTCATGGTATTCATAGGGATCTCCATGAATGTTACATGGATTTTGTTGATATTTATTGTAGTGGGCTGGGTTTATATGAATTTATGTATATATATATATATGTTTTTTTAAATAAAATTATGGATGGTATATGGATGTAAAAGGATGTTTATCCCTCAAATTGATGGTATAATTAAGTGTATTTCATAGCTTCTGATCTATAGCCAGTTCTAGAACTGTGGTTTACTGTATATTAATTGTATGAATTCAAGACCTTTTCAGCATCTTTGTTGGGGGTACCACACGAATTTGATCACTAGCGAAAGACATCATGAATGTTTATGAATGATATGAATGGTATGCCAAGAGGGTTTAGAGATAGAATCCATATCCTCAGATCCAGTCTGCTGTGGTCCATACCATGGATGGAACCCAGACAGTCGAGACACGCACGGGGCAACTATCAGAGTGCTGTTGCCAACACAGATTTACCCTCTGTTTCTCGCATTTGAAACTGAACGTTGGATGGTATCACAACCAACTTCCATGAGCCCCAAAACCTTCACATCAGGGCCTATGTGATTCACCAATTCACCACCCAACAGACCGGCCTCTGCAAACCCAGGGCCTTTGCCAACTTCTGCATGGATCCGGTCGCCACCTCTTCGGCTGTGGCAACAGCTCTAGCAGTGTGAATTCACTTCACCAAGGTGATATACCCAAAAAGTCTTGCGAAGCTTCACTGTTGACTGTCCCAATTATTTAATGATTAAAAGTGATTAAATCATGCATTTAGAAAAAATAACAATATTCCATGACTATCCCATATCCGGTTGTTTCCCCAGTTAAATCAGCCAGTTCTTCCAACCTTTATAGTAGTACCCTCCGGTGTCATCAAACGTGGCAATGTGGGAAATAAATCCTCCATGGAGGTTTCTGGCTGGAAAAATCATCGAACTAAATGGTGGATTTTCTAGCTGGCTACATTCAATGACACCGGTTCCAGCTATTTCTCTGGGTGATAAGATGCACAGATTTTCCCTTCTGACTAGTCATTGTCCAGTTGTAGTTATATCAATTTGTCTTAATATTCCATTCCTATCCAGTATTCCAGTACTATCCATTTATCCAAAATTTCAGCTAGATCACCCAGCTTTCTCATTCAAAATTCACTTCTAGCCAGTGGTCATTATCCATTTTTTTGGTTTATTAACATATATTATATAGCTTTATTAATTCATCATTTATTGTATAACTAACACTAACTTATTTTATTATTCTTGACCCTGACGTTTTTTTGACCTAACATTATCCATTTATCGTCAATGTCCTATTTTAACGTATATTGGTTAATTATATTCACTACCATATATTATATTAACATATATTAACATCATTGACATATATATATATATTAATATATAATTACGTATATTCACATCATATTGGTCAAAAACTCTATACATTTCATCGTCAATTTCCTATTATTCTTGACCCAAAATTCCCGAAATCTGACCCGCACCTCCAGGCTAGGTGCAGCACCCCCTAGGCCGCTGGACAAGCGCGAGAGGCTGCCGGAGGCGTCGCACCTGGGACTGCTTGGATGTTTTGGGAGTTTTTCGCAGGAAAACTAGGGGGATTTCACGGAAATGACACCAGCTTCAACAAAGAAAGTTAATTAAAAAAAACAAAAACTTAAATGATAAAAACCAAAATCAAAAACAGAATCACCAAAAAAAAAAAACGACAGGAAGAATCACCAAACAAATACAAGAAAAAAACAACACCTAAAAAAACAAGGAACACAAATCCTGGATTTTCTTCAGTTTTCGATGGTTTTTTGTTTATTTTTTGCTTCTTCAATTTTTGTGTAAGACTCGATATTCTCTGTGCTGTTGGACTCATAAGATTTCCCTTCAACTAACAAGAAGCTAGATTCTGCCTGACATTGATGATTTTGGTATATGTTGCTTGGATGTTCATGATTTTGTAAGGAATTTCTGAAATAAATGGAGACTTTAGCATTTGGGCCGAAAAAACGTTGGGGTTTGACCACCAAAGGAAAACCAGCATGTGACGTGATGATGTCAATGATGTCCCAACAACTGGTTCCGAGCTATAGTGAGGAATATGATCTTATGATTAACAGGGTCCTTGACCGACTGCGATTCCTGGTATGCTCCTCCAAGTGAGCCTAGCTAAACATTTGGAGATTTCCTGAAATGGGGGTACCCCCTAATCATCCATTTTAGTGGCATTTTCCGTTATAAACCATCCATTTTGGGGTACACCCATTTAGCAATTTGGATTTTGTGCTGCAATTTTGTTGCTTCAGAATTGGTGATTTGTTCGTAGTAACAGCAATCTCTTGATTCTTGATGTGCCAAAAAAATGATGTACGATGAGTTGGGCAATGTCAACCCCAGATTTTTATTCACCCTGGCATTTTCGGTGGTAGCCACCCTTCGATTTCATGATTTCATCAGTAAAATGGTGCAAATGATCCCTCCAAACCTGGCTGCCGCTTCCAACAAAGACTCCTGCGGGATTGCTTGACTAGACATGTTGAAGAAAATGTGTATATAGAATAGTATACACATGTATGATTATAATATAGATGTATGTATGTATATGTGTTCTTATTTATTATCATTCTCTAGTATTATAAATTATGTTGCATTGTTAACATTATAAGTTTGGGAAAAACAGCTTTCTTCACGCTTGCCCATTAAAAAAAAAATAGATCGGTAGATGAATTTTGTTCAACCCGGTAAACAATTGAATCCTGCAGTTGTACTGATATAGAATCGTCAACTCCTGCAAATACAGATTGGCCCCATGAGTCACACAATTTACCAAAATGAATCATTGCTAGGACCCTTCGGCCCATCAGTTTCTGAGAAAGGATAAGTCACTATGCCCAATTCTTCTTGAGGCGAGTCTTCATTTTATTGGGTATCAAGAATAAAATGAATACATCGATAATATATCAATAACTGGGTATCATTATGTTCATTTTATTTTGAATAATATGTAGGTTCGAATTGGGTTTCTTCTTCAATATGTCAACAGTCTTCATACATTGACACCCCCTATTCTTGGATCTGTTCGATCTGTCTCCTAATTTTTGAGAAAAAAATCTGGGCGAAATCACCACTTGTGGAACCAAAAAAGGGTCAACTGCTGCTGCAATAGACACATCTGGGTCCACTATGGGTCAACCAACTAGCACTGATCATCCCAATGACAACCAGCAATCCCATCTGGAAACGACAACTTGTTTTGGTGGAATCTATTGGATCGAACATGTTTTTTTTGGGCGCCCAAAATCGCTCAAAAATTGAATCATTTTTCAGGGGTTCCAGGTTCATTGAAGGGGTATCCTTAAATAGCTGGTTGGTTGATTTCCATAGGAAAATCCCATTTTTTAGAAATGGATGAGAACTGGGGGTAGCCATATTTCAGGAAACCACCAGCTGTTCCATTGGGGGATGGGATCTGAGGAAAAATGCCGCCAGCCTCAGGGCTGTCAGCTTCTTCCTGCACGCTCGCCGCGCGCTGGAGTCCCTGTAGAAAGGGCCCCCAACAGAATCGACCGATAGGTTTACTCCGGTTTACTCCGTCAAAATAGGCTGTTCACCCAGCAAATTTATCCAATAAGATAGAATCACCATTGAGAAATCAAGAAAATTCCAGGATGCTTCATGACTAGGCTAAGGGCTAACAATTGGAGTTCTGGTGGAAATGAATCACTCCAGTTGGATGGGTGAAAATACACCTCTCTCTATAGATATACATCATTGGGATCATATAATTTGGGAGGCGTTTCAGTAACAAGTTAATCAGTTGTCTAAGTTGTTCAAAGATTTCGATGGGAACTTTTGGAAGGTGCAAGACATTACAGGTTGTCATATGTTGTCATATGCTGTCATATGTTGTCATATGTACTGCGGAGCAGAAGGTGGCTCATCACAGCACATTCAAAATAGGAAAACCGAAGGAAAAATAGATTAAACGGGCAAGAAAAATGTTTGAACCATAATGCAACATAGGGACAATCAAGAAAATCAGAAATATAATGTAATAATTTAATGAAATATAAACCGGTTATAAACCATCTATCAAGCCCCAGAACAAATACGATTTAGATTATGTTTATATCTACGTCAGATTAGTTCGACATCGTTGAGCCCCCAAGTTGGATGGTTATCTGAGGTTCCAACTGCCAAGAAGGCCTCAGGTCTGATAAGAAATTGAGGACCAAAATGTTTTTTTCCAAAAAAAAACAGACCAGTAATCTTAGATTGGATGGATATATATATATATATACGTATATATATATATGTATGTATGTATGTACGTACGTACGTAGGTAGGTAGGTAGGTAGGTAGGTAGGTATGCATGCATGCATGCATGCATGCATGCATGGATGTATGTATGTATGTATGTATGTGTATATATATACATATATATAAATACATATACGTATATATATATATATGTATGTACGTACGTACGTACGTAGGTAGGTAGGTAGGTATGCATGCATGCATGCATGTATGTATATGTGTATATATATATATATACATAATATATATATAAATACAAATACGTATATATATATATGTATGTATGTACGTATGTACGTATGTACGTACGTACGTACGTACGTACGTACGTAGGTAGGTAGGTAGGTAGGTATGCATGCATGCATGCATGCATGCATGTATGTATGTGTATATATATATACACAAATATAAAAATACATATGTGTATATATATATATATGTATGTATGTATGTATGTAGGTAGGTAGGTAGGCATGCATGCATGCATGTATGTATGTATATATGTGTATATATATATACATATATAAATAAATACATATGTATATATATATGTATGTATGTATGTATGTACGTATGTACGTACGTACGTACGTACGTACGTAGGTAGGTAGGTAGGTAGGCAGGCATGCATGCATGCATGCATGTATGTATATATGTGTATATATATACACATATATATAAATACATATGTGTATATATATATGTACATATATATATACGTATATATATATATATATACGTATATGTATGTATATATGTACATATATATATATATATATTGGGAGTATTGGATTGTAGTCCTAAAAAGTTAAAGATATTTTAGAGTTCGATTGATGTATTATTGGAATTTATTGGATTATATTGAATTCGTTCCTGTAGCTATCGTCTTGGGGATTGATTGCTAGTATTAGGAAGAACTTGGCCAGCCACAGGCTGAGAATCCTGGAAACAATTGTTATTTTGTAATTTTTTTGCAATTTTTCTGTCATTTTTCTGCTATGTGTTTATCATTTTCCTTGATTTTCAAAATTTTCTTTCATTTTCTAGCATGAAATCAACAAATCCATTGAAAAGTGAAGACACCCAATGAAACAGTAAAGAAAATAATTGAAAACATAGAGAAAATCAAAGAAAACAATTGAAAAAGTGAAGAAATCAAAGAAAACCAATGAAACAATGAAGAAAACCAACCAAAAATTGAAGAAAATCAAAGAACACCATTGAAAAATCACAAAAACACAGTAAAATCATCAAAACATGAAGGAAGACAATGAAAAATTGCAAAAAAATGCCAAACACATGGCACACAAATGACAAAAAATGACATGGACAAATGACAGGACCAAAAAAAAGACAGAATCAAATGACAAAAAAATGACAATGCAAACGGCAAAATAAATATTTTCATGTACCCCAGTGTGTGGCTGCAAGTGCCTTCTAATGCTAGTAGCTTTTCCGCTTTTCCGACCATGATCCCGTACCGCCTCATTAAAAAATAGCGGATGTTTACAACTGGTGCACCCTTTGTGGTGCAAAGTGGATGAGTGTTCTCCAAAATTGAGAAGCAACATGAAGCGTATCCTAAGCAGAAACAACTTTTAGACCTTCCACCACCCCAAAAAAACATGGTATCTTGCGCTTCCACCGGGCTGGCAGCATGCTTCCCATCGTTCTTTTAAAATCGACAGCTTGTCCATACGTCAATCACGTCAATCATCTAGAATCTAGAGGCAGAGTACGATTTGCCAAAGATAGATTTCCGGAATTTTCTGGAATGTCCAATGTTGCCAGCTGGCACCTGCATGAAAGAGTAGCAGAAAGAGCTGGTGTAGCACACCGAATTTGAATATTCTGAGAGGATCATGCAAATCATTCAGATCGTTGTGGTGACCTTCGGTATAGATACCTTGCCCAAAAGAACAGTTCATTTGAGAAAGCGAAACATCTTCCATTTTGGAAACAATTTGGGTTTAAATCCTTGAACATGTCGGAAAACATACCCTCTGGTCATCAAACGTGGCTAGCTGGAAAATCTCTCATTCAGTTTTTTTTTGTTGCCCAGCCAACTGAACCTCCATTTACTTCGGGGATTTTCAAGCTTGCCATGTTTGATGACACCAGAGGATATATCCCATTAAATGGATGATCATCTGATGAATTTCCATGATTTTCCCATCAAAACACAATGCAATTACCATAATTATATAATTACATATATATGTATATGATTATATATAATTAGCTATAATTATATATCATCATATATAAGTATATTAAATCACCATTGAATCACCATCGAATCACCAAACCACTGGAAGCAGTCGTGGAAGCAGTCGTGGTCCCAGGTCGCCTCTCCCGATCGGCAGCACCAGTGCCAGAAGTTCGGACCTCACCCAGCGACATTGCACCAGCTCTCGGTCATTGACCCAAGGGAACCAGAAACAGTGATCGTTTTCAAATCGTTACTTTGGATACACTATGGTATACTAAGTATAAATTAGTTAGCATGAGTTCAGCATGTATTGATTATAAATTTAGAATGAGTCATTCAAATTTTGAGGTACAGAATTACATAATCTTGACATGTGGACAAACTGATGAGCTGAACTTCCAAAAGCTCTGCAATAATTAGGTCAATCTCCAAGTTAGTTGCATCCCAATATGGTCCGGTCATAAATATATATATATATATGTATAATTAGGTGTACATACATAATGATACATACATATATATATAATTGCATATATATGTATATATACAATTATATATATAACTATATATATATAATTATATGTCTATAACTATATATATAATACTTATATTATATATACTGTATATATATTATATATAGTGTGTATACTGGATATATATACATAAATATTATATATACATATTATATATATACATATTATATATACATATCATATATACATATTATAAATAGATATTATATATACATATTATATATATATACATATTTATATACATATTATATATATACATATTATATATATACATATATATATATATACATATTATATATATACATACATATTATATATATACATATTACATATTATATATATTATATATATACATATTATATAGAGATACATATTATATATATACATATTATATATACATATTATATATATACATATTATATATATATACATATTATATATATATATACATATTATATATATACATATTATATATATACATATTATATATATACATATTATATATATACATATTATATATATATACATATTATATATGATTATATATGTTTACTGTATATATATATATATGTTCGAAGTGTTTTCAGGGCTGACTGGGGGCTAGTCTTGTGGGTCCAATCACCCCGTTGCTGAAGTTGGTTGACTCCACACCATTCTGCCGGCAAGATTGACTAAATCCACGCCTTTTGTAGGCCTTTGTCAAATCGGCTAAATCCACCATGTTTTGTGCGTGACAAAACAATGATTCAAATGAAATCCACAATTCCTGGCTAGAGAATTGTCTTTTCTCATGTCGAATCCAGGATTTTTCTGGCTGAATGCCCATTAATAGATGAATCTCATTGAATTTTCCAATAGAACCTCCATTTAGTTCGGGGATTCACCTGGATTAACCCAAGCTGTAAACGTCCTGGATTTCGGCCAGGTTGCGTTGTGGAGACGAGATGCTTTGTCCATGTCTCAGGACCTACAACCACAGCTGATGTTCAATGCATGGTGTCTTTACGTGGACATGTTATGGGGAAACCATGGGAAACGGTTGGGTGTTGTTATGTTGTTACCACCAACTAGGGGCTTACCCGTCAGTTTTCCCTTAAACCAATCCCTCTAGCCTTCGATTAATGGTCAAACCGCTTGTCACTCCTTGAGGTCCAGTGGATTTATTGTATTCCTTAATATCTGAATTCCCAGTTCATGATAATCATCCTGTGCCTGCAGGTGACACCAGGCTTTCCGGATCGTTTTTGGATCAAATACATGTTCCAAAAAAATACCCAAATCTTTCTGGATAAATGGAGGTTTAACTCCCAAATCATCCAGTCGTCATGGACTCGTCATGGACCATGTTAGTATTGAAACAACCAAACAGTGATGACTGTGGATCCTCCATGACTTGGGATGACTTCCAGCTCCATCTTAGATGCTCAGCCCACCCAGCTCCACAGCTGTCGCGAAGAACGTTGCGCCTCCACCAGACGAATCAATCCATTGAACGATGGAACATGGAAACAATGAAAATCTATAGAATCCCTATAGGATTATAGGGAACCTATATATATTGTTTTGCTCCACGAAATCTAGGAATATGTTGGACTTCCTGTAATTTTGTCCCAGAATTTTAAGATCCTGAAGTTGTGATTCAAGCCAACTTAACATCCTACAACTAGCAATTTCTTCTAAGTGTAGTGCCTTCTAAGATGACAAGTTACAGTTACAATCTGGGTACGTCTGGGTCAACTGTTCTGCCAGCATCATCCAAGAACTTTTGCTATCCCCAATCACATTAAATGCTGGGAAAGACTGTCCGAATAGGGGGTTGTCGGAAAAATGAGGTACGCCCAAATCCACTGCTTTGTGATCATTTATTTCATGTCTTTATTTCATTAAAATGGCTGTTTGGAAGTATATCCCATCTTCAGACACGCAAAGTATCAAAAACTTATCCATTCTCATCCCACCAGGGGGTTTCCTAATGGCTGGGGGTACCCCTAAATCATCCATTTGAATAGGTTTTTCCCTTATAAACCATCCAGCTATTGGGGTGCCCCCATGTATGGAACCCCTTCAATTATCACCTGTGACCATAACTGTGACCCCGTGCAGTGTCCAACAGCAACTTTTGCCAAGTTGAACAGCTCCGTCCAGCAAAGCACAGAGTTGACGCCTGGCCGTCTCAAGCATCACCACACATCACCATAATCACCTCTAAGTTGCCATCAATGTATATATAAACTTATATATGGTGGTTTCCTGAAATAGGGGTGTCCATTTTAATGGAATTGTCCATTATAAACCAACCATTATAAACCAACCATTTTGGATACCACCATCCATATATATATATATGATATAGTACAGCACTATAAATTCTCTTGGAAGCAATCGTCTGGAATGGCTTCAAGCGTTCAACCCTTTCCTCCGATTTTTTTCAGGGTCTAGTTGCCTTAATTGGGAATGGACTATAATGACCATGCTACCCCCAGCCATGGGCCATGGTCATCACCAAATTCAAAGCAGAGGACCCTGCAGAAGCTGGGAATCTCAAGAGGTCATGGAGATTGAGATCGGTGGGAAAAAAAACCTACCCTAGCGGTTGAAAAAAAACACTGCCCCACGGAACGCTACCTCTCCACAGAACATCAGGACGCGAAACAGAAGTCCTGGACAGTGACAACTTAGACGGCCCGCAAAGGATGATTTCGGCTGGGATACTTTGCCATTATAAAGGTGGCTGAGCAACCAAACCAAGGTTTACACTCATTGATGGTTTTGCATCCAAAAAAAAATGTATGCGGCGTGTTCAACATGCCCAAACCACTCAAAGTGGTTCCACCAAATCAAGTTGTGCAATCTAACTACTGGGTCAACTACTGCAAGCTCCCAGGCTCCCGCTTGGTTTATAAAAGGGGATTAAAGGGGGGGCCCAGAAGTTATCAAATTTCACCCCCTACAGGTAGACAAGACCTTGGCAGTTGCCAGTCGTCTCTTGGCCCTGAACCATCCGTTCTTGGGTCAGTCTACCCTCGATCTTTGCGAGACAGCTGGGGTGTGGGACACAGCTGGGTTGTGTTTTCGTGCAATCAAATGTTTAACACCAAAAATAGATCAAGAAAAATAATGTTTAGCATCTGTGTTTCGTTGCTGCTTAACACCGAAAAATGATAACATGTGTGTAACACCAAAAAAAAACATAAGATTTGAGTCTCCCTGGTCTTAGATCATCTTGATTGTAGGACAGCGTAGGCTATATGGGGCTAATCCGAACTTCTGGGGGCTAATCCCAGCAATTTTTTTCTTGTTATACAGTATGTTATACCCATTTGAAATCTCAACTGCAGCGCCAAGTTATACCCATCATCTTGACCCATCTCTGTCCTGGCTCCCGCGCAAACAGGTCCAACGAGGCAGTCTTTGCCCATTGTTTGCCCAGGGGGCTGTCGACCTCAACTGGACCAAAAAGGACCAAAAAATGAGGGACAAAAAATGTTAAAAAATGTTAAAAATGAACCAACAGTTGCAGGATATGATCTATCATGAAATATCTTATTTCAGCTACAGGAACACACGGTTTTGCGGGTTAAAAACTTCGCCCAACCTTTTCGTAGGGTCAGCTGATGCTCCTGGGGATGCTACTCGAAGGTCTTCTACCCAAGCAGGCACCTCATGTGTGGCGGGAAAAATTAAAATGGCAGATCTGGCAGATCTTAATGGTTTGGGGATGGTAAAAAGATGCAGCTGATCAAGATGGACATGGATTTGCCTGTAGTTTGCCTAGCTTTCAATGAAACACCATGCCCAGCATCGGACCGACTGGGATCCGACTGTTTCTTGGCTGTGTCCACAAACGTTGGATCATAGACCCTATGTCATCTCAAAGAAGCTTGGATTCAGTTTCAGCTGCTAAGAATGACCCAAGAAATTTCCAGTGTCCATAAATCTCAGGGCCGGCCAAATTCTTTGGATGTTGATGATGAAATCCCAGTGTCAATGAGTAATTACCAACTACCAGCTTGCCAGAAACCTGGCTTGCCATTTCTGGCCCGTTGAATTCAAATGTTTCAATTACTACCACCTACCAACCATGATTTTGAAATTAAATTTACCTTTCTTTTCACAAATGGTCCTCATCTGTCGATAAGTCATTATTTGTTAGTCCCATTTAGGCAACAACATCTCCCCTCCCCCAAGGCTCCAACGGTGGAGCCCGGCATGGTACCCCAGCACTGCACGGAGTTTAGGATCCGTGCGGCCTGAAAAAATGAGGCCAAAAACATCCAGAAACCATGAGAATATCCCAAAAATGCTGGTGGATGTATACATTGTCCTTTTTGGGAAAAAATAGGGGTCAGTTTGGTATATTACTATCTATCATCATCTATGTATTGGTTGTTGAATTGGGGGAAGCCTCTATCATTCAACCAATCAGCCAAAAACATCCAAGAACCATTTCAATTGGAATTTCAGTACCCTAAAATGGAGGTACTGTATCATATAAAGCCACATTTTTAGGGTATATCCCTTGAAATTTCGCCTTCAAAATAGGCCATATATATAATATAAATAATATATATATATATATATTTGTGGTAGGTACCTCCAATAAATGGGTTCCTGAAATGGCTATTGAACCATGAGAATCTCCCAAAAATGTTGGTAGGTGGATGTATATTTATAGGGTTTCAATGGGACTTAATGGAGATGTAATGTGACTTGATGTAACCAGTGCACACGTAAAATTGGAACGCACTGGGATTTAATGTCATATATGACCATCTTATGTTAAACATCATTGAAATGGCATCTACGAGTACATTTCATTTGGTTAAGCATCAATCAACTCACTGAAGTACAGTAATTGTCCCGTGAATTACCATTCAATCCATTCAATCCATTCTGGCAGCTGGCAAGTGGCTGAACCCGTCTCAGAAACCATGCACCTTGGTATTCCAGCGGATTTTTGAGCCACAACCATATCTATCCGCTCCGGATATTGTGTTAAGCAACTGCAAGTCATAAATCACCACCGGCGGTGGGATGTCACGAATGCAAAAATCTTGGGTCAAACCATTGCCACTGCGGTAGAATACCAGAGATTTGGCGATCTGACTTAGTCGGAGAAGATCGGAGAAGCCTCCCAAAGGTTGATGCCGTCAACCGTCCGATCGCAGCCTGGTGCAGATGCTGCGGTTCCTTCCGAGCCTGCGAAGAGGATGGAAGGTCCCAAGACAGGCTGGTTCTGCGTCAACAGCTGGTTCCCAGTCTCCCCACTAGCAGTGTCCAATACGTAAGGATTTATACACGGATTTCAGATCCTTGAGAATGTGATTATCCGGGAGGGAAGAGGGTTGTGAACACGGCTAGCTTCAAGTGAGGGTTTTAAATATCATGGGAACACCAAAGTTTCATGACGAAGACATGGCCACGAATTGGCAATTTGAAGAATAGCTTGGAGGTCTTCCAATAGGTGTTAACTCTAGTCGGATATTCTCCTGACACACCCATGGCCCTTGGAACACTTAATACGAATAATCCTTGCAACAACGGACTCTGGGACAACCACCAGTTGAACCCCAGACATCAGAAATCAAACATGGAACCCTACAATCTGACCATGTTCAATTGGTTATGGATCAAAATCCTCAAGCCCACAAAATGATGGTCAAAGATGTCCCCATGACATTCCCATGATATTCTCCTAACATGGCCATCAAACTCGCTTGACCTAACAATTATTTATTATATATATATTGATGTTATATCCCATCAAATCCTCATCCTCTTTAAATGGCCACATGGCCGTGGCCAACTCTCTTGCCTTCACCTCCTGGTGTTTCTGCAAGGCGGTGCTTAGGGGCGGCTGGGCCGTCTTCAGGGGTAACAGCCTTGGCGGATGAGTCACAACTCATTGCTGCGCACATCAGATAAATTAGATAGATGAGATGAGAAAAAAACAGATAAGATAAGATGAGATGAGACTAGATCAGACAAGACGAGATAAGATTAGATGAGATTATATGAGATGAGATGAGTCCAGATAAGATAAAATGAGATAAGAAAATATCAGATAAGATGCGACAAGATAAGAAAAGCTAAGACAAGAGTAAACGGTACAAGGTATGATATGATACAGTATGATATGATATGATATGATATGATATGATATGATGTGATATGATATGATGTGATGTGGTGTGGTGTGGTATGATGTGATATCATGTATATATATATAATTATGTGTGTGTGATATAATAGATAAGATAGAAACGATAATATGAGATAGAAACGATAAGTTAAGATAGGATATGGTAGGATAAAAAAGGATAAGATAGGATAGGATGGGAAAACATAGGATAGGAATGGATAGGACAGGATAGGATAGGATGGGATAGGATCGGATAGATGTGATTGCTGGTTAGACTAGATCAGATCAGACTAGATCAAATAATAGAAGATTCGCTTAAATTAATAGATGGATAGAAACATAGATGGATTCGGCTGGATTTAGATTGGATTAGATGTGATACCATCTGGTTATTTAACATAGCCATGGAAAATTGCCCATTTATAGATGGTTTACCTGGTTTACCTATTAAAAATGGTGATTTTCCATGGCTATGTTAAATAGCCAGATGGTATTCTAAACTGCCTATCACTGTTGCGTTTTTAATCGGGCTTTGTTGCTTCATATTCCTTTCGGTCGGAGCATCCCGCAGCATCCCCATTTTTGGCGACCCAGAAACCCTTCCCGCAGTTCGCTCACCACGATTTCGGACACTACCTCAGCTGGTGGCTGACCAAAGCCTCCAAAAATGGGCACAATGGGACATAATTCGCAGATTTTGAAACCCAAGTTGGGTTATAATATATGCTTTATTATATCAAGTTATATACCAACGGCAAGTATCTTGACTCACGCACTTGCTGCAGGAAGAAGCACACTGACCACCCAACTGGGGCACTGTCTGCTCTGATACTCTGAACTGCCTCGCCTTCCGCAAACAGATTCCGAAATATCGAAGCAACAGTAGCTTGGTAGCCCATGGATGCCATTGATCGCCTACCCCAATAGTTGTTGAGTCCGTTAAAATTGGGACCCCCAAAACAACTGGTTTCAATTTCAATTCGTTGGGGCCGTTGGGGGTGCCCCCATTTGGGTTTCAACTCACTAACGCATACCGGAGACTTTTTGAACCGAATCTTCTGGGTCTCCAAGACCATTGGGAAAATCTCTGAATTGGGCACTTCCTGAAAGCGAGAATTTTCAGGGCTGGGAATCTACGGGCAGAGGAAATTGAAAATGACTGACTAACTAGTGACTAGGAAACGACATTCAATACGTTTCATGGGTGGTTCACTCGCGTGCGATGACCAATTGACTATAGTCACTTGGAAACTTGGTTCCAGTTGTAAATGGATATTTTTGACCATAGGACCATACTTATAAGGCTTGTATCTCAACTTATGGGGTTTAACACCATAGTTCTACCCATTTGCAACCTCAACTGCCCCAACATAACTATCGATAGCCCACTGGCAGATCCTTCACCCGCGACACCTTATTGCTCTTGGGCAAGCGGAACGTCAATGAGACCGGCCTTAACACATCACACACCATTGCGCCGTTGCAGGTCGAATGGGATTTGGAAATGATAAGTGATTATTAAAGATTACTATGTAAGCATTCACCAACAAAATTGCTTTACTTCGTGTGATCCCCACCATGACATTTATACATTTTGTTACTGGCAAATCTTCTGGCATTCTATCTGACATTTTATCTGGCATTCTATCTGGCATACCTTCTGGCATTCTATCTGGCATATCTTCTGGCATTCTACCTGGCATATCTTCTGGCATATCTTCTGGCATTCTATCTGGCATATCTTCTGGCATTCTTTCCGACATTTTATCTGGCATTCTACCTGGCATACCTTCTGGCATTCTATCTGGCATTCTATCTGGCATATCTTCTGGCATTCTACCTGGCATACCTTCTGGCATTCTATCTGGCATTCTATCTGGCATATCTTCTGGCATTCTACCTGGCATATCTTCTGGCATTCTATCTGGCAAACATTCTGGCACTTTATCTGGCATATCTTCTGGCATTCTATCTGACATTTTATCTGGCATACCTTCTGGCATTCTATCTGGCATATCTTCTGGCATTCTATCTGACATTCCATCTGGCATATCTTCTGGCATTCTATCTGGCCGTTGATGTCCAGCGGTGCACACTGAGGTGGGCAGGTCCCAGGTGGAGGTCCAGCGGTGCACACTGAGCTGGGCAGATCCCCGGTTGAGGTTCAGCGGTGCACACTGAGCTGGGCAGGTCCCCGGTTGAGGTCCAGCGGTGCACACTGAGCTGGGCAGGTCCCCGGTTGAGGTCCAGCGGTGCACACTGAGCTGGGCAGCTCCCAGGTTGAGGTCCAGCAGTGCACACTGAGCTGGGCAGCTCGCAGGTTGAGGTCCAGCGGTGCACACTGAGCTGGGAAGTTGGCAAAGAGCTTGGCGCAGAGAGTCAGCGAAGAGAGTTGGCAAAGAGCTTGGCGAAGAGTTGGCAAGGCGGAAGTGCAGGTGGAAGTTGATGCAGACATGGTCGAGGAGAAACTGAAGGAGGAGGCGAGGAGGAGGACGAGGAGGAAGAGGACAGCTAGTCGAGTAGGAGGAGGAGGCGGAGGAAGAGCGCTCTGATAAAATCTAACAACCCTCACCTGGCAGGTGGGGAAAATAGTATTGACCTCATAAAGCAACAAAATTGCATTATGACCATCATAGAAGTCAGGCTTCAAACAAAATAAACAGGGATTTGGGATGGGTCAAGTTGCTGGGGCATTTTGCGCCCTCAGAGTTCCAGTCAGTTTTGGCTTGCATAAGTTTGGGCGGGTTGATAATGATGAGTTTACGCAAATCCTACATGGGTTTACGATAAAAATGGATGAGACTCCCAAATTTGGCTTATGGGAGAACTTGTTTTCTCAACCATAAGATGTTTTGGTCTTGATTCTCCCATTATTTGAAACTAGCGGATATGACCATCTGTTTCGTTGGTCGGAAAATGGCTAATCACCGATCATTCAATCATGTTTGTTGCTTCAAAAACCATGGTGGAAGCCCAAAAAAAGGTGAAAGACAAATCTTGGTGGTATTGCAACACACATTCTGCCGTTGTGTTGGGTGTTTTAACACCCATCTCAAAATCCCGTTTCAACCACCATTTATCAGACAAAAATTTGACGGTTCAAACGGACCTCGAAGAGATGCGTCGAGCCACCTGGGAAGTCCCCAGAAAAACCTCCCCCAGCGAAATGAAGATGAAAAAATCATGATACCCTCTGGTAAACTAAGATAGCTATGGAAAATCACCATTTTTAATGGGAAAAATCTACTATTAATGGCCATTTTCAATAGCTACGTTAAATTACCAGAGGGTAACAAGAGAATCATCGAACAAAATGGGGAAATGTCCATTGCTACCTTTGATTAGAAGAGGATGTAGCCATCTACTGGCACAGATTGACAGATTTGTAACGGTCCCAACGGGAGTAAGCTTGTTCGAACTGGCCAGAATGATTCCACACCAGTCACACCAGTGACCAACCGCGAATTGCAGCCCCAGTATGGAAGTTTCAATCTGCCACAAGTGAATCTGATGTTTGATTGCTTCTGGTTTAACCAATGCCGATAGATTTCTCGTTGTAATTATCCTATATCTAATGTTCCTGTTCTGCAGAAACATCCGAATATGTTGTTGAATAGCTAGACTCCAGTGGACTTCAATCGGTCAAATGTCCTCCTCTGTCCGGCTGCATCCCGATCATTTTTATTCTCTGCATCCTCTTTTTTTGTCACTCAGTTATGCATCCTGTTGTTTGCAGGGTACAATTACCATTGCATTATTGTTGGTGATATCGGCAGTCGTCATATCATATCCCCATGGCATCCCTTCGCATGATCATATCACCATGGATGGCTCAAATCATCAAACCCCGAAATGGATTTCATGCGTTTGATCATTTGAGCCTCAAATCCATTTTATGTAAAAATGCTGATTTTTTTTATGCTGCACATTTATCAAGCCCCGATGATGATATACTGTACCCCCCACATTCATCAAACATGGCTGGCTGGAAAATCCTCCGAATTTACTTCGATGATTCGCCATGATTCTCCCAACGAAACCAAACCATAGCTCGTGCGTTCGTGGATTTTCCAGCCAGCCACGTTTGATGAAACGGACTACGGATGGTAACCTGATATTCAAAATGACTAATGTTAGTAAAGCAATGTCATAAACCAGCCATATGGTTTTGATATGTTGGATAATCCCACCCATTTTCAAATGGTCAAACATTGGGGATGGTGGATCCTATTGCTTTACCAACATATCAATGGATTGGTTTAAGGGACAATCTACAGGAAACCATGGTTTTTAGCATCAAACAATAGGGGTTTCCGGTTAAAATTTTCCCATCATCCAATTCTATGAACATATGCCAACATGATATAAATTTTGGGCTAGGACTGGTCCCAATGTCTCCATCATCTCCTCCATCTCCACCGCTCCACCTCGCTTCGAGGCGTGCGTTCAGTCACGCGCACCCGGTTGATGGCCACCAACTCACTGCCTTCCTAGCGATAGCGGCTGGGTGAGGTCCAGCCGCTTTACCCAGTATAGATTCCCAAAAGCTAGATTATCTAGATTAACCAAGGGTCCGGAATTGTCTTTTTTTTTCTGTTTTGGGAATTGTTTTTGGAGCTGCTGTTCTGTCCGTTTTACTTGCAATTTGCAGCATTTTGGAGCTGGAAGCTGCCATTCAAACGGTATCGCAACATTTTGGAGTTCGAACCTCTCATTTTCCATGGTATTTGCAACATTTTGGTACTCAAACGTTTCATGCTGGATGGTATCTTGCGGCTAGATGCGGCTAGGGTCCATTTAGGTTTGTGTTAGTGGTTATTTCTGATTGGTTTAGGGTTGGTTTTGTTTTTTTAATGGCTGGGTTGGTTTTGTTTTTTTAGGATCAATTTTAGGGTTGGTTTGGAGCTCATTTAGGGTTGGCTTAGGATCGTAGGGTTGGTTTAGGGTTTCTTTAGGCGTGGTGTAAGATATATGTAGGATCTATTCAAGGTTGGTTTTGGTTTTAGTCAGAATTGGTTCAGGGCTTATTTAGGCTTGGTTTAAGATCTAGTTGGGGTGGGTGTATGATCTATTTAGGGCTGGTGTAGGGTTCATTTAGGGTACAGTAAGTTTCAGAGTTTGGGTTTGGTTAGGGGTCACTTAAGGTTGTTTTTGTTTTTGTTGCTGTTGGTTTGGGTTTATTTAGGGTTGGTTTAGGGTTTGTTTGGGGTAAGTTTCAGGTACTGTAAGTTGTTTGTGTCTTTGTTGGTTGTTGGTGTGGGGCTTTATTTAGGGTTGGTTTTAGGGATGTTTAGGGTGTATTTATATTATGCCTCTTGGGGTTTATTTAGGCTTAAAAAAATAAAAAAACAGAAAGCAGCGGAGAAACAGAACAGTGAAGAAGCAGAGAAGCAAAGAAGTAGAAAAGCAAAGAAGCAGAGAAGCAGAGAAGCAGGGAAAGGAAGAAACGCAGAAACGCAAAAAACAGAAGCAGAACAGTGGAGAAGCAGAGAAGCAAAGAAGCATAAAAGCAGAAGCAGGGAAAAGCAAGGAAAAGCAGAAAAGCAGAAGCAGGGAAAAGGAAGGAAGAGCAAAGAAGCAGAGAAACAGAAATCCAAAAAAAAAATGCACAACACGGAAAATTGGGATTCCACAATTCCCCCAAAAATAACCCTCCACTAACTAATTGGAAAATGAACAACTCAATCATAGATTGTTGATTCTTGAGATTCGTCCCGTCCTGCATTTTCAGTGCAGAAGCTGGTGGATGAGTTGCGCGCCTAGGCGGTGCATCTACTCAGAATCTACTGTCTACACATGCTGTACTGGACCATCAATGCGACATACAAATGCATGGTACATAGTATATAACATATAATATATACATAAAATACATAATGAATGCGCAATGCAATCATTACCAACAATCAGCACAAACAACTTAGTAATCAGCAATTTCATCACCCTAATCAATTGCCTATCTATTCATTTGGGGTCCCCTGTTGAGGGAAGGGATTACGAGCATCGCGGCAAAAATCGGCAAAAACTTCAGTATCTGGCACTGGGGATCCTCATGGCTTTTGAAAAAAATGGTTTTCCTTGCCAAGTTCCTCTTGTACATCAGGATTCCAAAAGTTATCAGCCAATCAAAAAAAAACTGCAAAAACAATGGAGGATGCCTATCCATCTGCTCTTCTCACATGATGCTGGGCTCCGCTCCTAGATCAAAATTTGTAAACTGAACCATCCGTCATCATTCAGCTTGGCCGATTCAGCTTGGCCGATCAAAGTACAGGAGTTGATTGGGGTCATAATGAACCCATTGGAGATCAAAAGGGGGAAAAAAAACAATCCGCTATGGTTTATCATCATGTTCCCCTCAAAATTGTTGTTGTTTCTTGGCAAACACATCACACTGTGTTTCCAGCATATCTGAGTGCCTTGCAACCTCCACGTGTTGCCGGTCTGGCCCATGTTGGGGCCCAAGCGTGGGACATAAATCACTGGATGATTTAGGCAGCTGGCTATATCTCTTCCCTGGATGATTATACAGTATATATAGGCTTGTCCAGGCTTCTGGAACTGCGTAAACCGGAATACGATTGGGGGTTGGGGTGGGGTGGGATGTTAACTTTCATGTGAACTTGCGGCAGCAGTGGATGCTACGCACACGCGGGGTGGGGGGGTGGGGGGGGGGATGTTGACGTTCATGTGAACTCGCGGCAGCAGTTGATGCTACGCACACGGGGGTGGGGGGGGGATGGGGTGGGGTGGGGTGGGGTGGGATGTTAACGTTCATGTGAACTTGCGGCAGCAGTTGATGCTACGCACACGCGGGGTGGGGGGGTGGGGTGGGGTGGGATGTTAACGTTCATGTGAACTTGCGGCAGCAGTTGATGCTACGCACACGCGAGGTGGGGGGGGGTGGGGTGGGATGTTAACGTTCATGTGAACTTGCGGCAGCAGTTGATGCTACGCACACCAGGGCCTGGACAATATATATATATACATATATATATATACTGAATATATTTACCGACATTTTTGGTGATATATACTGATGATGATGATGATGATGCTGATGATGATGATGATGATGCTGATGATGATGATGAGGATGATGATGATGACCCAAATGAAACTTGTTAATTCCGTGACGAAAATGGACAAGTTTTACCAACCTAATTCAGGTTTACGCAGTTCCAGAAGCCTGGACGAGGCTATATATACAATAAATGTTAATTTCATAAACTCCAAATAGGATATGATGGGCAATTTTCCATGGTTCCTCTATATTCACCATCTTGGTTAGGACGGGGTTTGGGCCATGAGGTTGCTGAAAACCAGTTATAGAGAATTATGAATTGAAACAACGGTGATTCAATTATGAGTCCATATTATGGTTCAAAATTGTGCATGTATAATCATGTATATACAGTATGTATGTATATAATTATATCACATGTTTATAGTGGATGGTTCCATGTTGAATAAATTAAACCATGCAAAGAGGTTGGTCAGTTAGTTTTCCGAGCTGAATGCATTCCAGTTTTGGATACCCAATGACTTGACCAATGCCCAGATAAACAGTGAGAGTCAGGAGAACCAGAGTCAGGATGTCTTTGATCCCAACGAATCACAGCAGAATCGGCTGCCACCGAGGACAAACACGGATGGATTGGTTCCAAACTATATCAACTATTTGGGTTTCCCATGTGGAAAAAAATACTGTACCCTCCGGCAAACAAAGGTGGCGTGCTGGAGATTTTCCCATCGCCAGGGTTGATTCCCAGATCCCGGCTGAGTGCCTCAGTTGGTTCCTCAAAGTCCTTAGTTTTCATGAGGCTGCCAATAATGGGCCTTTGGATTATTGCCCTATTATTTCCCTATTGATTTCCCTATTTATGTCCCTATTTATTGCCCTATTATTTCCCTATTTATTTCCCTATTTATTTCCCTATTTATTTCCCTATTTATTTCCCTATTTATAGCCCTATTATTTCCCTATTTATTTCCCTATTTATTTCCCTATTTATCTCCCTATTAATTTCCCTATTTATGTCCCTATTTATTTCCCGATTTATTTCCCTATTGATTTCCCTATTTATTTCCCTATTTATTTCCCTATTTATTTCCCTATTTATTTCTCTATTTATTTCCCTATTTATTTCCCTATTTATTTCCCTATTTATTTCCCTATTTATTTCCCTATTTATTTCCCTATTTATTTCCCTATTTATTTCCCTATTTTATTTCCCTATTTATTTCCCTATTTTATTTCCCTATTTATTTCCCTATTTATTTCCCTATTTATTTCCCTATTTATTTCCCTATTTATTTCCCTATTTATTTTCCTATTTATTTCCCTATTTATTTCCATATTTAATTCCCTATTTATTTCCCTATTTATTTCCCTATTTATTTCCCTATTTATTTCCCTATTTATTTTCCTATTTATTTCCCTATTAATTTCCCTATTTATTTCCCGATTTATTTCCCTATTTATTTTCCTATTTATTTCCCTATTTATTTCCCTATTTATTTCCCTATTTATTTCCCTATTTCTTTCCCTATTTTACCCCTATTTAGTTCCCTATTTATTTCCCTATTTATTTCCCTATTCATTTCCCTATTTATTTTCCTATTTATTTCCCTATTTACTTCCCTATTTATTTCCCTATTTAGTTCCCTATTTATTTCCCTATTTATTTCCCTATTTATTTCCCTATTTATTTTCCTATTTATTTCCCTATT